AAACACCTTCCTTCCCCCCATCTGAGCTCTTCCAGCTCCTCCCCCCGTGCAGCGCAGGGGAACAGGGGGACTGGACTGGGGGTTGTGGTCAGTCTGTAGCACTTCATCTCCACCACTCCTTCTCGGTCCCTCTCTGCCCCTGCTCCACGTGGGCTCCTCTCCACGGGCTGCAGCTCCGGCCCGGGGCCTGCTCCTGCGGGGGCTCTCCACAGGCCGCAGCCTCCTCCAGGCCACAGCCACCTGCTCCACCGGGGGCTCCTCCACCCATGGGGGGGCTGCAGCGTGGAGATCTGCTCCATGGGGGACCCATGGGCTGCAGGGGGACAGCCTGCTCCACCAGGGGCCTCTCCCTGCACAGCCCGCAGGGGAACTGCTGCTGCCTGCCTGCAGCACCTCCTGCCCTCCTGCGGCGCTCACCTGGGGGGCTGCAGGGCTGCTTCTCTCACGCTTTCACAATCCTCTCTCCCAGCTGCTGTTGCACAGCAGTATTTTCCCCCCTTCCTTAAATCTGCTCCCCCGAAGCCCACCCAGCAGCACTCCCTACCTTGGCTCTGGCCAGCAGCAGCTCCTTTTTGGAGCCATCTTCAGCTGGCTCTGCTGTGACATGGGCCAGCTGCTGGGCTCTGCTCACAGAAACCACCCCTGCAGCCTCTCCATTATCAAATCTTTTTCATGTGAACCCAATTAACCGACTTTCCACAGAACACTGAGAAGAGCTTAATATCAAAAAGTCCTTTACAGCCAAACGTTTACCACAAGCAGTTCAACCATGATCAAATATCTTTCAAGGATATTTCATTGCATGTTAGTTTCCAAGTCTCAAAAGAGTTTCAGAAACTGACAAATCAGTTTGCTATGGATAACAGGGGCAAAGAGAAGTAATGTGTCTTTATTGAACACTGAAAAAATATATATATGTTGGTACCTTTTTATAAGCAGCAGTGCACTTTTCTATTCCGTTACCTAGCATACAAAATGGATGTAGAAAATGAATGCCAGGACACAAATGAGGGTTGCCATGATGAGACTCACGCTAAGTCAGTTTCTCTCCACCTTTAAAGACACATCACAAAGCATTGCATTGCATTATCTCACTCTCTTTCTTTAAAGTGCATAAAAACTATCCCTCCTACTAGATTCAGAATATTCCATGCCATATTTTTTTCTGAATCTTTTTCTCTGAGCTGAGAGAATGACAACTTCAGCCAGTACTGCAGAGTTATAGAGATAGTCATTTACCTCTGCTGGAAATCTTCTACAAGACTTTTTATTGATGACTTTGGGCTCTTGCTACAGTTGGAGCAAGTTTGATCTGGGATTTCTGGACATTTTGTCTGAGCAGCATGGTCCATTACTTACTTACATGGTCTGTTACTTTCTTATGGGTACCAGAGAAGGAATGTTTTGATTTTGTTTTCCTTATATCTAGACTTTTGTTGCCCTCCACTGGACTCTTTCCAGGAGATCCCTGTCTTTTCTGTAGTGGGGAACCCAGACCTGGAGACAGTACTCCAGGTGAGGCCTGACCAGGGAAGAGTAGAGGGGGAGGATCACCTCCTTTGACCTGATGGCCACAGTCCTTTTAATGCAGACATTAAAAACTTCCTATAGTCAGCAGGTTAAAGATATTCAGAGAGTAAACACAGATCACATTGACGCATGGAAAGATCAATATCATCCAATTTTTGTAGTGGTGAAGAGTCTTAGAAAGATACTGATATTATGCAAAATGCTACCAAAGTGAGAGAAATACATGAGACATGGTTTTGAAAGCTCTAATAAAAAAGTGAAATATTGTTTATTTGTAAATGGCACACTGGCCTAGTTATCAGTGAAGCATCTCAGGCCTAGTTATCAGTGAAGCATCTCAGATCCATGCTTTAAAATGAGATTCTGCATGCTGAGTCATTAATATTTTTATTCTTCATACCTTTAATTTTTCTCATGAAGTACACATTGCATTTTGACTGTACTTTCTTCTGGATCACTAACATCAGAAATGCAGTGTACCGATAACAAAACTAAAGGGAATTTTGGGTAACACTGACAAATTCAAATTAAAAGTAGAAAGAGGAAAAAATAACAGCTTTTTATATACTAATCACCTACATATAATAGTTAAAAATATTGCAAAATCTCACAAACATTTCCCTCTGTTACTCCTTTCAGTGCAATATCAGAGAAACGGGACACTAATAATGAAGTTGACAGAGCATCATAAATTAAACTCTAATATGTTTTTTTTTGTTGTTTTTGTTTTTGTGGTGTAGTAAATTTTCATAATGAAATGGGACACCCATTCATAAGTTGTATTTCCTTCTCAAAAAGTACTTAAAGCAGCTTTTAAATATATGGTTAAAATAACTCAAATTCATAAACAAAGATCAGAAAATGAGTTTTAAAAATGAGGTATTCATACTATAAAAGCCTGGCAGCTTTCTAAGACAAAGAATGTCACCTCCCTGAATGTGGATAATGGCTGAAAGAAAATAATTTTACCTCTAATGGCTTTGATTTTGCTAGCAATATCTCATAACAGGGTGCCTGAAAAACAGCTTCCAGACACAGCCTCCATAGTAAAGCAGGAATGAATGTGATAAAGGGAGCACTCTGTCAATACCACTTTACAATAAAAGGCCAAAGCAAATTACTCTCAACAATGAATGCAGACAAAATGAAGATTCAAACAGGATTTTTTTTAAGTAGGGGACATGGAGTGAATTTCTATATAAGCAACCCATAAATTTTGCACCCTCATTTTAAATTCCAAGAGATGGGGAGAAAAAGAACATGATAGGCCTTCAATCCACAGGACAGAAAAATGCAGGGATTTCTTGTTTTCTTTCTCTTCTTTATATCCCATGTAGACAATCTAAAAGAAGCTTGGTGTTTAAACTCTAAAATAATTTTTGGCTGATTGTTTTGCCATGGCGTATATTGCTTTGTGCTTTCTCTGGGTCATTTTTTCCTTCCTGAATGTTGTGCAAATCTAATTTGCCATTCTGCTCTATTATCACTAAATGAGCTTGATCTAACAGTGTAGACGTACAGAGTTGCAAATCTAACTATAATGTAAATCTAACGAGAAAGGAAAGGAAACAAGAATACAGAATTAAATACAACCTTCACCATGTTACTTTCATGAAATAGAGTGAGATACCAGATGTGTAAGTACCTTTTGCTATGCTTGCTATACTGAGAGCTGCAGTGAGTGCAATTGGTCCTCTCTGGACTTTTTCACATATTGGTCCTCTTACCTTTTGTATGCCTTATGTAGAATAAACTACAGAAGAAGTTATAGAGAATTTCAGAATTTTCAGCCAGGGTACAGAGTAATGTAAACACTAACAACCCCTCTCTCTCTTCCCTTCATGATCCAAATAATTCCCTACATTTGTAAATTTAATTGGAATCAAAGCTGGCTATAAAATTTGAAGAGTGGTAAGGGAGTATGAATGGAAGGAAAGCAAGAGAAAAGATATAAAAAACTGCATGCAGAAAAGCATGATAAAAAGTGAACTTTGTGTCACATGAGTTCTGTGTATCAATTCTCCTCTTGTTTGTAAAAATGTTCACAAAGATCAAGGGATAGTTACACAGAAATGTTTGTGTTATTCAGAGTCCTGTCTTTGCAGATGACATGAGAAAAAAATCTTAATTACTTACTTAATTAAAAGCTGTTAAGAAGAAGCTACTTAGATTTCTATGCCAAGCACAAAAAGTAGGAATAGTTAAACATATGTTTCAGTGAAGCTAATCATACCTTGTTGGTGCATACACATCATAGTACAGATTTTATGAATTAAACAGCTTGCAAGATCATTTAGTTATTTTTGCGAAGGTCTGCTGGGCAGTTTTATAGAGATACGCTCAGCCCATCTGCTGATCTTTGTAAAGTAATTTGTGGGTCTGTGTGGTGATTTATTACTGAAACACTGTGAAGACGTACGAGGAACGTCTGAGGGTGCTGGGCCTGTTCAGCCTGGAGAAGAGGAGGCTGAGGGGAGACCTCATCACAGTCTACAACTTCCTCGTAAGGGGGTGTCGAGAGGCAGGAGACCTTTTCTCCATTAACACCAGTGACAGGACCCGCGGGAACGGGGTTAAGCTGAGGCAGGGGAAGTTTAGGCTTGACATCAGGAGGGGGTTCTTCACAGAGAGGGTGGTTGCACACTGGAACAGGCTCCCCAGGGAAGTGGTCACTGCACCGAGCCTGTCTGAATTTAAGAAG